TTTAACAGAACCAGGGATTGAACTCAGGCCCTTGTGCTTGCCAGGGAAGTGCTTATTCCACTGAGCTATCTCCCCAGCCCAAGAACAGATTTGTGAAAGCTGTACCAAGAGCTAGGTTTGGCATGTGTGGACTCACTGTGTGGGAGGCACAGGCAAGCAGAGACATGAAATATATTCTTAAGTGTGTAGGGTCTGGCTGAAGGCACACATCTGGGAGGCATCGCGGGCATGCACTTGAGGGAGGGGAATTTGAGTGGGACAGCCCAGAAGCACCTATGCTCAGGTATCTGGCAGAGGAGGAGGGTGACACAGGCAGAGGACAATGTCATCAGAGCTCAGAAGGGACAGGACTGGAGAAGGAAGTCCTGAGAGCACACTGTGGGAAAGCTTTGAGGCAGGCTGTCCAGGCTGGTTCTGTGTGGAAGTGGAAGAGGGTGAATGTAGCGGAGGGGCTGGAGGTGGAACCTGAACAGGAAATGAGTCTTCAGAAGGAGGTCTGGTGGGAGGGATACTGGGAGGAAGCCTGGGGTGGCTGCCTGGGTGCCCCTGGAAGATAATGTTTTTAAGACCACATGGCTGACTGCTGATGTGCAAGATATTCACTGCAGCAATGTTGTAAAGGCATCAGATTAAAGTACAGTCCACTCATGCCAAGGAAGGTGCTCCTATTTTTAAGAAATGAGCTGGATCTATATTCTATATACTGGTTAACAAAAAAGTTCCAAATTGATGTATATGGTGTGATGCTGTTATTTGTTTTTAAAAACTACTTTAAAAAGACAGAAACTTTTTGGGTGCAGGGGTGTACCCCTATAATTCCAGCTACTCAGGAGGCTAAGCCAGGAAGACCACAAGCTTGAGGTAAAACTGGGCAATACAAAATCTCAAAAGAAAAAAGGGTAGGATATAGCTCAGTGGTTGACCTGCTTAGCATGTGTGAGGCCCTGGGTTCAATCCTCAATAAGGCAGTGGTAGAGGGCGTTGGGAGTGAGGGGAGAGAGATTAAGAGGGAAAGAGCACTTTTATATAAGAAAATTTTTGTATAAGAATATAAGGCATACTTATCAAAAGTACTGAAGAATGATAAAGAGATATTTAATATTTTCTGTAAATACTCTGATCATATTATCCAAACCAGTAAGATAAATATACATTCTGTGGAAACATCAAAGAGTCAATGAAGTAATAAAGAAAATACAATTTTTTAGGGATACTGAAAAGTTTCATTCTGTTCAACACATATGTGTTAGCTGCAGAAACTCAAAATTGCCCTTTTCTGAGTTATACTTGTTCTACTATCTGGATAGTATATGAAGAGTATACTTATGAAGAGGATAAATTCAAGGAAAATAGGAAAAGATGAGTATTTGGCCCCCCAATTTCTACTTGATAATTAAAGGCATTTTCTGTACTGTAGCTATGTTTCAAATAACAAGAAGGATATTCTGGGACTATGATTTCCCCCTGAAGTAATGAGGAGTAGACTCCTGGTTGGTGCTTTCACCTAGATTTTAGTGAAGATTTCTGACAAGAAGCAAGAAAAGCCAAAACAGAACACTTTCCCTGATATGAGACTCTTCCAGACAGATGCCTACTTGATATTTAGAAAACTTACTCTGTTTCCTTAAAATACTCAGTGTGACCTGCCCCTGTCCCCTTCAAAAAGAGACAGTAGGTAGAGAAATTGGTCCATCTGCCTATTAGATAATTTTGGCTCCATTTTTTTTTAAAGCTACAATTAAAACCCCACAGAATCAAATTTTCCACAAAGAAGGCTCTTGACAGAGGCACCTTTCAGAGGGCTGTGCTCCCAAGTTCTTAAGCTATCTGGGGGAAGCAGGCTCGGGCTTCCAAAGCCAAGATGGACACACCTGTGACAGTCTATCTGGGCTATTTGGGTTACTACAGAAATCCATGAAAATCCTAACCATTTGTTCTGGAGAACTGCTTTATCTCAAGGAACTGGAAAGAATACTTTATTTCATCCTAAAGGTACATTTACATGAAAACCTGATTTAAGACACATATCACAGTTGAAGAAACTGTGTCACTGGTATCATCTGTATGTGTAGAGAAGGCTTCAAAACCAAAGTGTGGGAGCCACCAAGCAAAACAAATGCCTAAACCTTGACCAAACTGAAGCTTCTAATAGTTCTAAATCGGCACCAGCAGATTTTTGTGTGAAAACTTTTTCAATTATTGATTTCCTGACATCTTATTAAGGATGAAAGCAAGAGGATAAAGAGAAGCACAGAGAGAACATAAGGAAATCTCAATCAACTGAAAAAGAGGGTTTTAGTTACTGCTAATTTTTTGCTGCCTTTTTGTCCTAGGCATCACACTAGCCTTTCTTTAATTCAAACATTCTCGTGTTCACATTTAGAGACCGATTTTTTGAGAGTTGGAAAAAATCATAAAACCAGGAGGTTGGTTATAGCTTTATAAGTGATTGTTTTTACTTTAAAAATTTTATTTTCCCAATTTATAAATGGATATTGCAATGGTTGGGAGATTTTAAATAACAGTAGCTCCCCATCTTAACTCCTGAAGCTCTCAGGAGCCTCCAACAATTACCACCTAGGTCTAAAGGCAGGCCAGGTACAAGGGCTTACCATGAATAACAAAAGATGCTCCTCTCACCCAGACAAGTAAGCTTGTCTTTTTTGTTTTTGTAATTTGATACAAAAGAATATCTACTCATTGGCAAATTATTTAAAGAATATAAATGACAATCTTCTTACTAGCTAATTGATTCTTATTAAGCATCTTTGGAAACCATATTAGCTCTTTTAGTATTGAAAATTTGGCTTATATTTGGCCTTTGTGACCTTTTACTATTAGGAAAAGATAGGAGCTTAGAAAAACCTCAAACATTGTCAAAAATAATACAACTGTTATTAAAGTCAATAAAGGTCTGGAGAGATAGCTCAGGGGACTAAGCACCTGCTTAGGCAAGCGCAGGGACCCGGCACCACATGTCGCGCTCCCCCCCCCACCCACAGTGAACTGGCCATGGAGACAGAGTGTGGTAGCACACACCTGTAATCCTAAATCCCAGCACTGGGGAGGCTGAAAACAGGAGAATCACTATGAATCTAAGCTGGGTAGTGAGATCCTATACTAAATACATAAATAATAATTATTATAATAATAACAACAGAACCCTAGGCTAACAGTTACTTAGTATTTCTTCTGGGTATTTACACTGCTCAGGCATTGGACCCAATAAAGTCTTAGGAGAATACATGTTCCAGTCTGCCTGGGACAAGTGCGTAACTATAAATAGGAACCCCTTCGACTCTCAAAAGTGTTGTAGTCTAGATGCTAAGTGATATAATCATCCAATTTCATACTTACAGCTACCTATAGTAGTTGGTTTGCCAGTCATTCCTACTACCAGGAGCTCTTTTTACACAGAACACTTTTTTTTTCTGTATTTAGGACATGGTGTACAAGGTCTACAGGGTCTCACTACGTAGACCAGATTCATAGTGATTCTCTTGTTTTCAGCCTCCCAATTGCTGGGATTACAGGCTTGGCTCGCCACCGTGCCCAGTCTCAATTGTGTCTTAGCACATCCCGGGGGTGGGGCTGGCACAGCATGCTGGGGATTGAACCCTGGCCTAAGTAGGCGCTTTAGTCCGCTG